CACGTATATATACTTCTAAAAGTCGTGTATCATGCATAAGAACGTTGACGCCTGCAAGGCTCTGGTTATTATTATTATTATTATTATTATTATTATTATTATTTCTGTATCGATAATAATGTAAAGTGTGTATAATATAAAGTTTCTGTAAGAAATTAAAATAAATGAAATATATAGAAAGATATAGAATATAATGGAAAAATGGTCTTTAATCTGAGGCGTTCTTTAATTGAGGGGTTTTTAATTAGAGGGAGACCTGAATAGGTGCACAGCGAGGGATTGAAACCCCGACCTCGATGCTGGGAAACAAAACCGCTTCCTCAAAATCAATATATGTCATGTATCATTGTATCATTATCAAGTGGAAGCAATTAAACAATATTTAATAAAATAATAGATATCTCGTTTACGTGGTTTTTACTTGAAATATATATAAATTTTACATGTATGATACAGCCAAATTTCTTCGAGACATTATGCGCATCAACACAAATCACATGTTAATAATAAGATGGCCAACAAGGAAATACCAATAATAAGGGACTATCGTGAAACAGAAGTTATAACTTTCTAGTTTCGTTCTCTTTAATGTTTATAGAATATATTATTATTATATAACTTTTAAAGTTTCAGTTATTTATTTGTATCACATTTTAGGGTATTTGTTTATTATCGATGCGTTGTGAAATACTATATATAGCAATCTTGTTTGTAATATTATCACTTCCCTCTGAGACGGCACTTCGACTACTGCAATGTCCAAATTATTCTTTTGCTTCCTGGTGTTGGTATGTTCATTGCCTAATACTGAAGGTAAGAGTGTTTCATTGTATTTTAAGTGTATATTATATTATATTGTATTTAATATTCAATACATACATTATAAGCGATCTATTTACAGGAAGAGCAAAAAAATGTTACGGGCCACTCGGTTGCTTTTATAAGTATACCGATAACTTATTATTCGACGAATTACCATCGACTAGAAATGCGGTGGGAACCACATTTACTCTTAAAACCCGAGCTATGACTAAACCTAAATCCATATCAGCAAGTGATGTCTCGAGCTCAAACTTCAATTCAGCGATCCCGACTAAGTTTATTATTCATGGTTTTGATGAAAGCGGCTCGGAATATTGGGTGAGAGAAATGAGACGATTGCTCCTAATTGAAGGCAACTATAACGTCATCGTCGTGGATTGGGAAAAGGGTGCGGAAGATGATTCATTCGAAGCTGACTACAACGATGCAGTAGGCAACTCACGAATTGTTGGTGCAGAAGTCGATCTCCTGATAACTAAATTACAGGTAAAATTTGACACGGTGGCTACCTTTTAGTATCATACTGCTGTACATGACTTAGAAATATATGATTTGTATTTCTTGTGTTTTAACTTATAAAGACTTGTGATTTCTACATTGTAACAGTATTGTTTATTAGAAATGTTTTATTTGACCACTGTCCTAGACCCAATTGGAAACAAACTTTTCAGTTTAATTAGCCGATTCAGATATTTCTTTCGGAAGGGTGTGATCTTGTCTTTTTCCTCTTTTTTTTTTTATTGTTCCACAAAGCCTATTAATAAATATTTTTATTATTTAACTTGAAATTACAGTATTGTATTTAATTAAACACCTATGTTCTTTTTACAAGAGTGTTTACACCAACATCTCATTGGATAGTATGCATTTGATCGGGTTCAGCTTAGGAGCTCATGTAGCAGGATTTGCTGGAGATAGGCTGAACGGAGGAATTGGACGTATTACTGGTAAGTAGCGAATCTCATGGAGGAACATAATAAACCATCATTAAGTGTACCTTTAACATGTTTTAGAATACAATCTCTTATCATCAGTGTTGTTCGTCCTTTTATATACAAATAAAATTGTAGTAAAACCTGGCACCATTTGTTTTAACAATACGTTATGAAGTAAAAAAGATAGTTAAATGAAAAATATTGTTTAATAATATTAATAATTTATTAGGAACTACATTTTTCTATTAGTGGCACATTTCCCAATAGAAGGTGCCTCCTAAAACAATACAGTAAAGTTTAAAAAAATACGTAAGTAATAACGCTTGGTCATGTAAAAACTTATTATGTAATCTTAAACAAAAAACTTTAGGCAAAAGAAAGTTATGCAACACCACACAAACTTAGTGAAGTAAAGTCCAGTGACGGCGCTACGGGGGTGGGGCTAGGGGCTACGCAATTCGTCGAGAAAAAAAAAGCATTAGGCCCTATATGTATTTTGTACATATTAAAAGACACTAAAATCGATTAAATACGGTAAGCCTTTGAAACCCCTAAATTGTCATATTATCGGGGGAATACGTCCCCTGGATCACTTTCGAAAGGTTTTTAAAGACGCCCGACCACGCCCACTTTTTTTCTCGTCGGGGACATCAGCCCCCCCCCCACCTCCCGTCGGGCACCTCGGACCCCCCCGTCGGGGAAATCCTGGTGACGCCACTGTAAGACGCCCACCTACTGTTAGAGAACCTAGTATTTTATAAAACTAGGTTAAGCACCGTACTAGTGGTTATGTATATCTTTATTGTTTAATTTTCTTTTTCGATGGCTGCACGTCTTGCCAATTACGATTATATAAGAGGCCACAACATTTTATCCCATTTTGCTTTTTATTTTCATTTGCATTTTGTGCGTCCATATGAAGGCCTAACTATAGCCTTCTGAAACCACACCAAGCATTTCAAACCTCAACTATTCAAAGGCGGGGACACTCGACTTAGAATTTGATATTATGTCTACAAATGTAGGACAGAAGATTGGGGCTAGGGACAACTTGCTTACTTACTGTGACTACTGGTCTATTATGGTGCTCTGACTTAATGACAGGTCCTCAAGAATCAAGAGTCTCCAAAAATATGTCAATATTGTCCCTTTCTTTTCAATGGAATAGACATCACAGAAATATTATATATATATATATATATATAAATAAATAAATAAATATATATATATATATATATATATATATACGTATATATATATATATACTATTTAAATAAGTTGGTAGATTATGAATAGTTATATTGAGACTATTCCTATGTTAGCTCCTCGATATAACAAACTACGTTTTTTATAGTCAGTGCCGTATGTGGTAGAGGAATTAACAGTTTAGTTTCGTTATATATAAAATTCTAAATAAAATGATTGTACTAAAGAAATTATTGAAATATAATGGAGTATGTCATTTACAAATAAGTATACAACATTCATACTTATCTTGGTCTCTGAAAGAGAACACCAATTTATCTTCTGAAATTCCTTATAGCTTGGTGTGTCACATTTGAAACCATACACAATTCTGGCAATTCTATATTGTATAGTGTGCATCTTAGGGAAGTTTGTCTACAGTTTTCCTAAATTACAGTTTAAGTGGGGAATGACAATAGCATTTGCAATTCTCAAAATATTTTGAGGAAAGTAATTGCTGCATCGTCTGGGCATACCTTGTCTTTTCAGGGCTTTTTCGCAGATATGCCATCAATTTGATTCGTCCATGTAAGATTTTCATATACTTTGACTCCAAGATGCTTACTGCGTAAAAAATTCATTAATAAAATATTATTTATATTTACAGATTTGCTTTTATTTTTGGTATTTTCTAGTCTTCAACTTGAACCGACTATCATAAATTTCGACTTTGAAACATTTAGGCCTATAATTATTTTTTAAAATTTTTTAACCAATCACAATTTGAATAAGTTCCTCATTTATGGTTTGGTATATTACATGGTCATTGCTAGATGCATATTAAATGATAGTATCATCTGAAAACATACTTACTTTACATTTCTTTAAAAACATTGCATATAATAGAAAAGGCCAGCGGACCCAAGATTGAGCCCTGGGGCACGCCTCATTGGGTATTAGTACACTCATAACCTTATACAGTGGTGTAGCTACTGGCAATGCAGCCAGTACAAAGCACTGGGTCCCAGGGCTATTAGGGACCCATTCATAAATAGGCCTAGACCTAAAAAATAATAATTTAAAATAATTTCCAACTTAATATTTTTGAAGAATAAAACGACCAGCGCTCCCCACCCCCCTCCTTCCAGTAATGTTAGTTTTTTAGAGGTGTATATTGATTACTGTATTGATTTCAATTCAGTAGTGTATTCAACTGGGCCCCAGTCGGCCAGACACCCCTATTTTTTTTTCAAAATTATAAAAAAATAAATGGGGAAAAAAGGAAGTTACATTCACATTTATAAAGTGCCATTTCCGGCCATCTAGAGGTGCTATAATTATACATTTTCTTACCTCAACCCCAACCATAGTGGAGCTCAAGTGGTCTTCATCCTTCACCTGTGAAAATACCCCCCTGGTCCCTCTATTCCAAATTCCTTGATCAGCAGCTACCGCAATTGTTTAATTTTACGTGCCACCATTTGTCTTGATTAGTTTAGAACAAGCTGATGAGATCGAATATGCCCCTCTTAATAATAATATAGTTATGAATCCAATTATCCTTTGTATTTATTACTGCCTAGGCCTTTAAATGTAAGGGTGAGATAGGGGTAAAAGAAGCCCTTCTTTCAATGATTTGTTTGAGAACTTTAGAGGATTCCCCTATCAGAAGGGCCCTGTAATTAAACTTGCACGGGGGCCATTTTGTACCTAGCTATGCTGCTGACCATATTATTTCAATTTTAAAAATAAATTATATCGTTTTATCCTAGTAAATCTTGATTATAACTAAAAACAAGCAGGACCTATATTATTAGTCGCATCACAGGTTGTTACCTCACAAATTAACATTACTGCTTATACACATATACTGTTCCAGCGTGGCGTAATGGTGAACCTCACTGGCAGCAGTTTCAATTTCATTCATACAATCTTGAAAATAGGGGAAAAAGCAAACGTCACGTTTATATCAAAAGATGTGACCGTATAGACAAATTCTTTTCGACAGGGTTAGATCCAGCTAAATTTGGATTCCAAAATGAAAGGACCAATCGAAGACTGGATCCTTCAGATGCTAAGGCCGTGGATGTCATTCATACCGACACCTTTTCTGCTGGTAAATACGTTTATGCTTTTCCAAATCCAGCCAAAATAGTCTTGTCTTGTAAAACATAGAGAGACGTAAGGCGCACTATTTCTATCGATGTAATACTAGTATTATAATTATCTATCTCATGATTTTTCTCTATCAACATCATTAGCAGTAAAATTAAGTACGGTAAGTAATTTATTCGGAAACTACATTTTAAACAATTACACACTTCAAGATTGTGAAAGTGCGTCCAAAAGAAATACAGTACACAATTAAGAAACTTAAAACAATGCAACAGACATAGATAGAAAAGGCAAAGAAGAAATGACCAACCAAAGATAAAATTAATTAAATATATATATACATAAATACATATACTAAATATAAACAAATGGATAATATTGCTTTGATGTAAAATATCAATTCTGATGTCATTATCATTATTGTTATCTGTTATATTTGTATGCATTGCATTTTTCGCAGTCTTTTGGCAATACATTAGTTCCGTTTTAAAATTACAAATCTGTAGGCCATACCTTGTCTATATTTTTTCCTAGGTATAGATCATTCAGTCGGAGACGTAGACTATTATCCAAGTGGTGGAGATGATCAACCTGGATGTGGTTAGTATCCATATAATTTACCCCCTACTCTTCCGAAAGATGCAATATATAAGTGCACACGAGCCAAATGTTCCGAAAAGACTTGGTTTTAACCAACGATCTTATCATAACTTACTAAACGAGCAAGCTGGAACTGCTCGAACCAGCGCTAGTGTTAAAGGCTGTATTTGGCGGCCCTGCCTTACCACTCGGTCCATTCGACTCCCCCAACTTTTTGTTGTCATTAATATTGTTGTTGTAATAATAATAATAATCATTGTGTTTTTATTATCATCATAATTATCACCATCATCATCATTATCGTCATCATCATTATCGGCGTCGTCGTCGTCATCATAATCATCCTCATCATCATCATCATCATCATCATCATCATCATCATTATTATTATTAATATTAATATTATCGCTATCATTATTATCACACTATTATTAATTATCATTATCATTATTGGTTTTTTTTTATACATAGAGTGGTATAAAATGAAAATTGGGTGCGATCACGAAAAAGCTGTTGAATATTTCTTGGCATCGATAAGGGACCAACAACCGTTTAATTGCAAATACTATCGCCGGAAATACCGTAAAAAATGTACCGAGAAATAGTGCAGTCTGGTAAAATCAGGTCTTTTAATATAGCATCTTTATATGTAGACCTATGTAGTGTTTAAATATAGGTCTATTTATAGATTTTTAGTCAAATGTGTTTGTATGATGTAAACCTATCTTGATAATTTTTATAGTCTATATATTAGGTGTTTAAATTAGTGTTTTTCATGTTTTCTGTGCATGTTAGAAACAGAACTTGGGTCTTCTTCAGACTGTTCAAGCAAAGACTGTAAATCAAAGATGTGCATATTAAAAATGACGTCATTCTACATATTTTTTTTGACGCAATTTGCGCTTTCTGCGTTTCAAACTAGGTAAAACCAAGTAAAACACAGAATTACCTCGAAATGCATACAAGATACGCAAGATAGATAGACTGAAACTGTAAAGACCTTCGTATGGCTGGGTTTTATGGCGTAAGTGGTTAGAACTCTCCACCATACCCACTAGGAGAATCCCCTAACTTGCAGCGTCAATGTGCTGAATTTCGTATTGGAGTGGTCCGTGACTACTATAGCCGCCGTAGAGGCGTTTATAGTCTATGATGTTCTAGGTATCGAAATGGGTATTCTATTGTATATCGATAATTATTCATTTCCTGTTAATCTTAATTAATTATTGAAAAATATTGTCCTGTTTTAAACTCTAAGATGGTCAGTTGGAACATAGCTGAAGTGCTGGAGTGCTGTTTCATTTTGAAGAATTTTCTCAGGAAATTGTTCACACCACTCCACCAGGTTTGGAAAACCAAACCCGCTTACTACACAGCTCCCAGTGTATAACCAGGGTGTTGTTATAACTCTCTGGTATAACTTAAGCCACCTTAATGTTTCTACAGTCTCCATTAATTCTGTGCAGTGTTTACATCCTGTAACGAAGTTTCTTATTAATGTTGTTACTGTGCGTGGTGGGGTGTTATCATTCATTATTTTTATCATTCTTCATTTTAAATTATGCACTGCTTTTTTAGATTGTGTAATTTGGTTGAAATTATGTTGGTGTAATTTATAGTTTATTATAGCAGACATACAAACATTCGAAACAATAAAGGATTGAATTGCTATTGAAAAAGGTGTCGCACTATATTTTTGAACTGCCTGAAAAAATTACACATGATTTACCATTCGTTCATTCGTGTGAACCCATAATCAAAAGAGTTACATCGGTAGATAGCTTCTTTTAGAGAATAATCGCGAACAATGGATTCTATAGTTGCTGTTATCTTTTCCCTGTAGTTTAATATGTTATTTGTATAAATTTGTATTATGTAATGTGGATGCACCACTGAATGATGTGTACCACCGATATAAAAGTGATTCCATTGAATAAATAAAATAAAATAAAATAAATCAGTTGAATGAAACAGTCGTCACTAGCAAAGTTACCAGCGAACAGGAATTAGCTCCATAATGGTATATTAATTTACCATTGATATAATATTATAGCTTAAAACTGGCAATCATGTTGTATTTTATTGTTTTGTAGTGAGAAACGACAGCAGCAGCAGCAAAAACAATAACAACGAGACTGTTTAAGATGTCGCCAATCCATTTACATTCAAGAAGCACAGGAACGGTTTCATGATGTTTTTTAACAAAAAAAAGTGTTTTCCGGCCTCCAAAAAACACTTTTGGAGGCCGGATCGCAGACTGGGAAGGGGTGAAGTTAGGGATTCTGGCAAATCTCCTTTTCAGAGAATCCACAACCCCCTACCAAAATAGTCCACTGATGAACTCCTAAACAAATTTTCCCTCTGTACCCAGTGGTTGTTTCACCTTTAATCCTCATATTGAACATTTCTTTTGTAGGATAATTACAATATATTTTTCACTGCAAGAAGTACGCTTTAAGCCTATAAATTCCATTCGCTCTTTATGTGACGTCCATCAACCCAATGCTTAGAACTACCTTTTTTAGATGCTGGCTACGGACCGCGAAAATTGTGGGAAGTAGCCTACATTCAGTGTTTCTGGATCCAAATACAGTAAGACCTAACCACCACTAAGGTACCACTTCATTTCAAGACCTTATAATTCTAATTCTAGATCACTTTTATAAGGAACGAAATAATAATCTTCAATCTTTTAACACAAAAAAGCTAACCCTGTGGAACCCTCTAATCTCCAGACCACACCCCAAGACCACCTGCCATGTGGTCCCACAGGTGGTCTCAATTTGGAGAGCGAACTGTGTAATTTTGAGTTTGCCCATTTTGTGTGTAATGTAAAAGGCATCATATTTAATATTCATTAAACAAAATGTCTTTAATTTTTGAAACAAAATTGGTTCTTGAGGTGGTCTCTTTTAACTCAAATGGCAAGGGATTCTACAACAGTATAAGAGATTCTGAATTGACCTAAATTAGTTCTGCAGTTGGGAATGGCCAAATTGTAATCACAGTTGAGTCTTGTTCTATGGGAAAGAAAATCTTTCAATAAAAATAAATTTTAATGAAATGTAATTATCAAGGTTGTTGAAGCTGTTGTAATATTGTGTCACAAAATTATTATTATCCTTTAATAGGTGTTAAATATTTGAGTTGATATGTGGCGGCACACTCTCCTTAATGGCGCGTGTACTGTATTGACAAACTGGGAGTCAGCGAGGCATGCGATTCATACAAGCCATCTACCCTGGTGACCACGTCACGTCAACTGCAATTCATGCGAGGCGGGACGCTAAAACGCGCTAAAAATCCGTAAAAGTGACAATGACAATATTATGATGTAATGTTCATATGACCATCTCATTGAGTAATACCAAAATCAAACCATTTCCTTCTATCAAAAAGTGACTTAATTCAATCCGCCCGATCATATCCATGGCGGAGTCTAATCTAGGAGGCGCGACAAGGCCTCGCCAACCTCGAAACCAACAGGAACAGGAGAGGGCGACCAACGAAGATGAGGGTTGAATTAGAATAGCCGAATCGCACAACACCTGCATATTTAATCACGTTCGGTAATAATTGACGTTGTTGTTCTTAGACTTATTATGATAGGATAATAAATATATAATAAATGGATAGAATAATAAAATAGTATGGGGTTATTCTATACTTTTGAGGATTATAAACACAGCTTGTGAACTATTATACAGACTCCCTAAAAATGTACCACACATAGCTCCATCATCCTCTCCCATCATTTCACCACACTCTGAATGCATTGATATGTTATAATTTGATTGCTAATCATACCTTTGTTTTTATATTATTTGGCATTACAGTCAGATAACAGTCAGATAATTAAATAAAATTTATATACAATAGGCCTACAATAATTATAATTAACCGCATTTATTCAAATAATCACCCCGGGGCGTTATTGTTTTTTGAGGAATCAGCGTTTACTAAATGTAGTCTACTATGAAATAATTGAATTGAGTATGGTGCCACCAAGTGGTCTGTTCTCTGGGAAAGCGAAACGGGATAGCGAAACTCACATTTTCCTTCAACGAGAGCGATAACAGAACGGGAAATTTTCTCGGTGGATTGGTTGAACAAGATAACGAAACGTTTCTAATAATAGCATTATCATCTTTCCGGAGTTTTAGCTGAGCAGCCAAATATGGAAGGACCACGAAATATGTGTGATATTCATAGTCCAAAAGAACAAGTAGGCTTATGTTAAAATGAGATGTCAAGCAATCTTTTTAAAATAACGTTTCTACAATATGCATTTAGAATTCTTTTGTACTTCGAATGCATCAAGAGGCAATCAGTAAATTTCTTCGATAAGGCATTTGTGTTAATTTATTTATATAGAGAAAAGTTTTTTCGTACACACTTAACATGAAAATGTCCATTTTCTATGCAATGGGAGCCATATTCACACGCGTGGTCGTCTTTAAATGGTATTAGTTGACTGGGCCCAGGAGTTGAGATTTATAAGTATTCACTTGGAAATGAGAAAATAATTTATCCAATGATTTAATTTATCCAACATGGTTTTTTTTTTTCTAGATTGTTGGCTGAGTTACCGTATTAATTTTGTATGTATATGGCAAATTAAAAAAGATCACCAATAAAATATTGGAAATAAACAGTAAAATATAATGCCAGTTAAAACAATTTACAGTAAATGAAGTCTATGCCTATGTCAAAGGTACTTTATTAAAATCAAATCAAATCAAATTTTATTCAAAAATATCGTTTTTGTAGCTTTACAGCTAAATTGCGTCTGATAATGATATACCGAGTACATGTACGACATAAAATAAGAACAACATGGTTACAACTATAATTAAATAACAAACAAAATTAACCTAATCTATATTACAAAAAAGCAAATTGATAAAGATGAATTGGGTTCTGATGACTTTACATCTGATTTAGAATATTTATGATGTGTGGTATGGGCCTATTTTGTGTCTATTAGTTCTGAATTTTTGTAATTTATTATCGATAAGGTACACACTGTTGCAAGAAAAAAAAGTTGGTCTAAAAGGTTTATCCCAACATTTTTCGCGGACCCCCTGCGAACCCTTTTGATTTGGTGGACCCCCAATTATTTTTCGAAACCGCTGACCTAATATAACAGTTGCTATACAAGTATTGAAAATAATAATTATTATTTATCATACTCTTCATACAGTTTTTTTCTCTGCGAACTTTTCATTTCGTTCGGTACACCGTCAATGCGAACTGCTCATCCATTTCGCAAATGTTCAGCCGCCTCTATTACTTCACATATAGACTAGGAAAAAAAATTGAAAAAGAGGCCTAGAAATCAAGTTAGGGGGGAGTGGAATGTTAGAAGCAGTCAACATAGCCAGATATCCTAATTAATCCGCCCTGGTCACCCTAAGCCTTGTTGACACTTGATTTTTCACCTGGTATACAAATGGCGGCCATTTTTCAAAATGGCCGCCAAATTTATCTAAAATGTGCATATAATTGTAACTAAATAAGCTACAGATATGATGTTGGTGTCTAAAATCCTAATTTCTATACATGCAACAAACCAGACATATAAAAACTACTGTCACTCATGCCAGAATGGAACATAATTCTAATAAAATAGGTGTTTATTTGTTTTAAAATATCCGCAAAATATACTTAAAATGTGTATAAAATAAGAATAAGTATATAAACTCACCAAAACGTAGTCGTGTTGGTATCGTTGGAAAGCTCTTCCGATACTGAATAATGTATTGCAGCTTATATATCAGAAACGGTGTAGTGTTTCATGTATTGTCCCATAAAGTCAAATTATGGCATATCATAATAAAATAAACAGGACCCATTTGCGTAACTCATGAGCTCTCGGATGGCGGGGGAGGGGGGTCCAAGTCCGGGGTCCAAGTCCGAGTCCAAATGCGCCCTGGAGAGGGTTAGATACTTTTACTTACAGTAACACTGTACTCAGTAGTACTGATACCCAGCACTCTCCTACAACGCCTTAACAATACGTAACATTTTCTATAATTTCCGAAAAAACCAAATGGACCAAAATCCCACAAACACAATACTTGGCAGATTTATTAGAAGGGGTTCTTTAAACTATGCCTGTCGTTGATTCTACAATCAACGGTTTAGGTTTGGTAGAGGGCGCCACAATCACCCAACGCAGACAGTAGAAATACCCAAACAACCATATACTATCACGGTAAACTTTATTGAGTCTCTCTGTAGTCTGGTAACTAAGCATAAAAAATAGAGTATGATCAAATCAGTCAAGTAATATGGAATAGTAAAACAATACAATGATATGAAGCAATGCATTCCAGTAATTATAAAATCTATAGTCAGCCATTATAAGAACATATCAAATCAAATGGCATAA